TGACTGCTTTTGTGATAATTTGGTGCTAAAATTAATTAGTTCTTTGACGGGCTRTGTTTAAGGAGCTGATGCAATTATGCAATATAACCTGCAAGGATAGAAATGAAAGCAAAGTTGAATTTTTGCATATTTAGCGTTATAACAAAAGTCTCACGGCAGTTGCCTGCCTGCCTGCCTGCCTGCCTGCCTGCCCGATATAATACCTTTTTCGTTGGCCTTTCCATAAGTCATGTTCCCAGTTCCCCCAGCAGAAATTCTCATCAACCTCTTCACCCTGCGTTGACAAACGTATTTCATTAATATACGTTGATAGTATGTACTAACGATAACTGAGTATCTCCATTGACTTACTTGCTTTTAAGAAGACAGAGCATCACCAAGAGCACGATGCAGAACACGAACAAGGCAAAGAGAAGCACTCCATAGGTAAGGAATGCTGCCTGTTGGTGCATGACCTCTGGGAAAAGACTTGGGTGCTCGGGCTCAGGCTTGCTCGGCTCTGGCTTACCCGGCTCTGGAGTGGGTGTCTGTTCTGGAGTTGATGATGCCATGACTAGAAAATAAGATAAAAATTATCGAGTTCATTGCGTGGTCTCAGCTTTGAGGAACATCTCGGGGTATGGCATGGGGGACATCGCGTTTTTGCATTTTGGAATAAATTATCGAATTGTCTTTGGACATGGATTCGAATCCAATCTCATACCTAGAGCCTGTGTTTCTTCTGGCCTGCGGCGAAGAACGATTGTTTTAGTACAATCCATTTTTGGAGACCAGGATTTCCTTGTTCTTCGCCACAGGCCAAAAGAAACGCAGGCTCTGGGTACAAAATTGATTTAAATAGGCCTTTTGCAAAAGATTAACATGTGATTGTTACTAGGTGGAAAAAAAATTTTGACTTCCTTTATCTAAATATTTTGGCTGGGTTACTAACGCTGTATCCAAAACCTTTTCAAAAATATTTTCCCTAATAAGATAGTTTCGATTTTAAGAAATGAAGCAGTTTAAAGTTTGTTTGCCATCCAACAGAGYCTTCCCCAAGGGACCTCGAGCTGAATTGATTCGTTATCAAAGTGATATATCAGCACGTGACTGTTTGATGCAAAAGGCCTGTCCCATCGTATTTTATTCACRATCGGGTCACACTAGCCACACACGTATGTGTGAAAAATCATTGTTTAACATAATCACTTGGCTTCAAATCTGCAGTCGGTCGAACGTCGCTCTGCTTGCTCCTACACCCGGCAAAAGCACAAGAACTGCGACCAAAAGTCTTTTGGTGCCGACGTTTTCATCTCATTCTTGTCCATATTATCCTCATTATATGAACAGGTTAGTCAACACTATCATATATTGCATTTCCCGACTTTCCCGGCAAAAGTACTTCAAGCTCATGTAAGAGTTAAACATTGGGCTGAGTAGGCGAAATTTGTTGCATTATTAATGGTCTGTGCAGTGCTTTCCTGCCTCGGTCGGCCCCATTTACAGTTTATCTACGTGCTTCGCCTCTTAACCATCGGGTTTGTGCAGTGCTTTACCCCTTGCTTCCCCAATCTTGTCTTCGTTGATGTATCTATTCATTTTCTAGCAATTTGCATCTCATTTGGTGCTCTATTGTTGCTGTTGCCCCTTGCTTGCACGCCTTACCTTGGCCAGTGCGTGTTTGCAATCAACTATTTTCACGTGCCATACCATGCTTCTTCGCCTTCAGTATACATAGAGTGCGTAACTGTCAATTGTTTTCTTTTGRTTTTAAGTGTATTTAAAGTGATCTATATATTGATCTCCTTCCTGCWCTGACGCTCGGCAAAACTGTTATCCCCTAAGCTTATGTTTGCCCTATCGGTATTTTTTCCAAACTTACGTCCGTCAAGTTTTTTATTTATTTTCTCTATTAGGTGTTATTCATTACACTCTCCCACGTCAGTCTGTCGTGTTATGAATTTTGCACACTTCTCATCCAATCAGAGTTAGGAAACAATATGTAAAAACTGAGCGCGCTAAATATTTCAAAGCTTTAAGTTAATATTATCTTAGGAGATCCACAATCAGAAATCATTCGCCACACAGATTTCATCACGTGCCGAAAGTTCTAGATGAAAGGCTTTGAAATTGTTTTTGAACCTCGACGTACGATACTACAAGAGGTTTAGGAAGATATCACGCGAATTACATAAAAATTAGGAATGAAACCCCGTCCATGCGATAAGAATAGCTGGCAAGACTAGTCTAGTGGAGGTCTCTTTATAATATTCCCGTCGATAAACACGGAGCTTAGCCGTCGGTGTTGCCCGAGATATTTCAATGTTGTTTGTAGTGGACCAAAGCACCATTAAAAGCCATCAAAAAACAAAATAGAAGTTAAGCAGTTAAGTTATATCAACACTCGTTTAAACATTTTTACTGTAAATTTTGAGAGCTATTTCCCCCCAAACAGCATACAGTGAAAGATCAAGATCTTTGTGCATCAAGTTCTAAAGAAATAGCAGAGAAACTCGAATGCACTTATGTAATGATCAATGTCCACTAGTCCGTAGAAATTCAAAATTAAAAAAGCCAGTGAAATGAAAACATAGATAGCYACGACAATACATAACTGAAAAAAAATCAAAGGCAGTAACTTACCTGAAATTTTCTAAAGAAGGTTTGAGGAAATGGTCAGCTAATGTTGATAGGCGTTTATGGCGTTTATGATGTTAAAACACTTAAAATGTCCCATTGTGTCGACTGACAATCGTAAATCGTTTTGATAACAATAAAGAATATTTTAATGCCATTATGATAGAAAAATTATAAATAGGCCCAACCACAGGTAGCCCAAGCTAGGTTTCTGTGGTGTCCTGTTATAAGGAAATGTATGGCGATATTTAAGAAAAAGCTCAATGAAATCCTCAAAATGTGAAATAAAGTAAAGAGATCTTAGCTGACCTTTAACAATTATTATCTCTTTCGCTCTGTGTACTTAGATTTTGGATTTAACCTGGGGAAAAGAGATACAATTGATGTTACGAGCCATGACACACGACGCAATGTTGCACCGTGTGTGCACCTTAAATTTGTATTTCAGTTTAAACTTTTTTAAATCAAACTACGATCTGAATTACTTTTTTTAAAACAAGCAAATATCACAGCTTGATCAGTAATTCAACACAAAGACAAAACTCACAGTTCACAGTTCACAGCTTACAGCCTTGAATTCCGCAAGAGTTGAATGTAGTACAAGATTTAGTACCAATTTAAGTTATGACGTATATAGGTCCATTTATACGTATATCAAATCAGTAAAATCACTCTTTAAATACTTTTTCTTAAACACAATATATTCATTATTATACATACTTTTAGATATATTTATAATTTGTACAACGTAATCTTTCCAATGACAACGCTTTGCACTTTTACTCAAAATATGGTAAACGCTTGATTACTTTCCTCCATGGATCACCCTTAATTACTTTCTTCCATATATGGATCATCCTTAATTACTTTCTTCCATATATGGAGAGCCCTTAATTACTTTCTTCCATATATGGATCACCTTAATTACTTTCTTCCATATATGGATCACCCTTAATTACTTTCTTCCATATATAGATCACCCTTAATTACTTTCCTCTATATATGGATCACCCTTAATTACTTTCTTCCATATATAGATCACCCTTAATTACTTTCTTCCATATATGGATCACCCTTAATTATTTTCTTCCATATATAGATCACCCTTAATTACTTTCTTCCATATATGGAACACCCTTAATTATTTTCTTCCATATATGGAGAGCCCTTAATGACGTCATTACTTATGTATGAGTTATCCTAGATAGAGTTAAAATAAAAAGTTTTCGTGTGACGCGCTCGAAAGAACAACAAGTGCCTAACTTTAAAATAGATTTTGTTGACACATATAAAGATTAATGACTAGTTTGTGTTGTTCCTCCAGTAATAATTAATTCTCAATTAATTACATATTAACGATCGTCGATGGGGGGTGTGGTGAATAAGGATATAGCGTTAACCCCTCTAGGCATTAACACGCCATGTTCTTGCTTTTGATCCTTACGACTAGTAGTCTCCCTCGCATCCGTTTTTAGTGTCGGTATACGCCTCGATTCAAGTTAATAATGATTTTTTGCTGACTCTTTACCACGTCTCCAGATCTCCCGATTCAGAACTTGGCACCAATAGACCTTATTCGTG